GGGGGCAGGGGGGACATAAAACAAAGCAGTAGATAGAGCTTTTCAGTTCTGGTCAACATGTTGTTCAGTCCAAAATTATTTGTTTCCTCCATTTAGCCACCAAGGTCCCAGATTAGTTATTTGCCTGGGTCTGTTCCTAGGTCTCACCCAGGCCAGGCAGAGCAAAGAATATGAAATGAAGAACAGAAAAGACAAAAGCTGAACAGGGGCATGGTCACGGGTGCCTAGAGCTCAGCAGAACTGGAGAAGTGGACACTGTGGCAGTGGTGATCAGGACTGGTGATACAAGAGAGGCTGGAGAAGCAGCAGTGTTGGCCTTACATGGCTGAAAAAGAGGTGTTCCAGGGACAAAGGAATGAGGGAGAACCAGAAGTGGAGCTGGATGAATGGAAGCCCCCAGGAACAGGAGATCACAGCGGAGAAGAAAGGAGTGCAGTTTGGAATCAGAGAGGTGTGGAAGACATGACAGGCAGAATAAAGAGAAGCAGAAGCAAAACTGAAATACGTATCACTTACTAACACACTAAAGAAAAATTACATTTAGTGCTGGCCAGACACAACAGCAACAAAACAATAATTTAGACACCAACTCTAACTCTAACTTTGAAATATGATTGAGCTCAAATCAATATAAAAATCCCCTAACTAGCTGCAATACATCTGCCCAAACCCAAACAGATTAAGGCCTCCCCACCAGTCTAGCTGCTCTCAATTTCAGCTCTTGGAAAAAGTACCTCACAGGCTTCCATGGAGCTTCTGTCCCACAGGAGATTAATCCATCCTCTACTGAAAGGAATAGGAAGGGAGGTTGTTTGTCTTCCTTTGTCTCTGAGGTAACTCTACAGGGAGCTGCTGCTGCAGCACCCTAGTGACAGAGCATGCAGGAGAAACCAAGATGTGCGGCCAAAGAGTAAGCAGCATGTTTTGATGCGCCACAGTCAGTGCAATGTATGATTTACTTCATCTGCTTTGAGATGAAGAAATGTAACATTGATAAAACTACCAAATTACCAGAAGGAGAAACTATTTTGACATGCTGATTTAGAAAAAAAAACCCTGCTGATTCCTGCAACAAAGTAATTTTGACATAGAAAAACTAGCTTCAGACACCTTCATCTCAGACCACTGATTCCAACAGTGCATCTTTCTCAACTCTGAGTGTGGCATTGCTTCGCATGCAGCTGAATTACCATACTTGCAGGTCCCTGCCCAGCGCATACTCACTGTGGTCCGTGGCTGGCCCTGATGTTGAGCTGGGAGCTGGAGAAGTGCCTGGAAAAGATGGTGACCCCAGGGCTCCAGCGTACTTCTTGGTCCAAGAGCTGTTCTCTCTTCCAATCTCTATATGTGGTCTGAAAGTGGTGTTGAGGGTGGAAACGCCAGCATCCCCTGTGGCCAGCAGAGCCGTACCATGGCCACCTTGAGAGCTGGCTTGTAGCACACCAAAACCTGTGGAACTTCTGGTGGTAGCAGAGGCCGTTTGATTTGGAAACACTAACAATGGTGAGCTGAGTTGCTCTTGCCCAGCTGTGCCCATGGGTGCATTTCTGAGAGTAGCTGCTTGCTGTGACACACCAGGGGAAGCCTCTGCCACAGAGCTTTGCTGCGATGGACTTATGGCTGGCTGCCACTCTGCACCCATGGCCACTTCCTTACCGGCTGTGATCCCCATCACTGTGGGGCTGTTGTCCCTGCCAAAGTCCGTCTGTGGTGCCAGGTCCTTTTTCCAAAGGGACAGAGCAGTGATGGTGGGAGAATGACCATGGGGTGTTTGCTTGTCACCCAGGGGCAATGCAGCAGGGAGGTGTACAGGAATGCTCATCTCAGAACCTACAGCAGCCATCTTGGTGGTGGCATGGGAAGAAGAACTTGCAGGTCTTACTTCTTCAGGAGCAAACTCTGTGCTGTTTGTTACTGCAGGAGCTGTCGTTTCAGTGAGAGTCTCTACAATCTCACCTGCAACACAGCAAATGCACATTGAAATGGGACCTCAAATTGGTTGAGGAGGCATCAGGATCTGTCCTGAAATTGGGACTGAGGCCACTCAGACATGCATAATAGCTTTAAAGAAATGGGTCTTGGCTATTTCATTGACACATTCTAGAATACATTATTTTTATGGTGTTGAACCTGGTTTGTGCCTACACAAAGATGCAGATTTGATTCCTGGGTCTCCTAATCCAGTTGGCAGGCCATGGATCATTACAGTGGGAGGAAATCAGGCACAGACATACCAAAAGAGGAAAAAGTACACCTCATGTTGCTCAGCATAAGGCTAATCAAGGATGTTCTCAGAGAGATTTCAACTGAAATTACATACAAGGTTCACCTTCATGTTCAGAGACAGATCACATGTACTCCTTCAGCCAGAGACTTCAAAGGTGAATCTATATACACACTATATACAACATAACAGTTGCAATAAAAGCAAATGTAAAAACCCACAACTTATTTTAACCTTTCACGGCAAAGGGAAACTACATCCCAGTCTTCTGCTCACCCTCACAGTTTCTTCCAGGTCGGGATGGATTAGTATCCATGGTTGTCTTGCATCTGCACAGGTATGAGCCCATCAGGTTGATACACTGGGCAAACACAGAGCAGTCGTTCTCGGCGTGAGAAGCACATTCATCCCAGTCTGTAAGATCAAAACCAGAACACCAGTCACACAGCCTCCCTTCTGGCTGCATTAAGCCAAAAACTATCATAAAGTAGTCCTTCCTTCAGTTTTTGAATCTATGAATGCAGTCTTCCTTTGTCATCACTGAACTCTCAGCCAAGCTCCCAGTGATGCAGAACACTATCTATCTGTGTTGTTATTGTCTCGCATAAAAAATCAACCTCTGTCTTTGCACTCTGAAAAAATATTTTCTCTAGGTAAAGACTTTTAAACTACTTTTTCTAGAACCAAACACTTATTTGAAGTAAAAAAAAAATTATAGGCTTGTACTATAGCTGTATCAAAAGCATATGTTATACCAAGTTCTGCATACAGTACCTCCAGATACATCAGGTAATGAACAGATCTGTTACCACTAGCTACCAGTAGATAGAATATTAAATAGAGACTTAATCCAAACAATATTCTGCTTCAAATAAAAGGCAAATGAAAGTAACTCCCATGAGAAGGACTCTTCAGTTCTTAACAGAGGAAGTGCTAAGGGCAAAAATTCTTTTTATAAAAGATTTCTTCTCAAAGGTAATACTGTAAAACTGTGACCCTCTTTCTGGTAGTCTCAGAAAAGAGATCCTGGTTCATCAATGCATACATCTACTTTATTGCTGAGTCTCTTCTCTCTTGAGGGATTTAGATCTGAAGTCTTATATTACCATTCAAACCCTGTTCCAGCAAACACACAAAGACCGAGTTAATGCTTTGGACATGAATAATCTCAGTGAATCCCATGTGAGCCCTCCTTCTGTGCACTCCCTTGTGCATACATCTTCATTGCCTCAGCGTCATAACCAAGGGAGACCAGAAAACTAGACTGAAAACTGTGTCTTGGGACAAATAGTTCTGATCAGAGGCTAGAAAATCATTTTGAACAATACATTATTGTAAGTGCTTGTTCTGCCAACATGCAGAGATTAATCATTGAGGTTATTTCTCGCAAAATTCTAGCAGCAGAAAGCACAGAGCAAGTGTGTGCATGCACATACATGTGTTTGTATTTCTGCTTGCAGACAGCCTTCCCCTTTTACTGCCTTCCAGCTAATATTTCAATTCTTTCTCCTTTCTTCATTAGATAATTGTTGTACCCGTGATTGTTTCCATCAGAAAATTTCATGTGTCTATGTCCAGCATCTGTCTATTTTGATACAGCCCAAGCCACTTGGAGGGAACACAGAAGTACACAGGATGGACTAAAGCACCATCAATGAAAGTGCTCTCATTAATGCCTTACTATGCTGTGAAGTAATTGTGACTCTTGATGGCTTCAAACTATCTGAGAGATGCACCAGTGCTAATTGCCACATAGCTCACATTCACCACCTCCATTGTCTCGGAGTGTTTCCTTTCACATTACTTAGAACAGCTTTTTATGCAAATTCCTTTACCTCTGATGGCCGCACTCAATCACACATCAGGCCAAAACACTTAGGTTCTCTTCTCAATGCTCACCGGCACTAGAACATCACTCATGCAGGTACATACACACACACAGACTGCACTTTTTTACTCTATGACCATTACATCTCAGCCAAGGTGTGCTCTGTGTTCTTTTCCTGTGCTCTTGGCATCTCTCTGGCCTTTCCTGCTTGGCAAGTGCCTTCCCCACACACACACCCCTCAACCAACAGTCCTTCTCCAAAAATTATTGAACAGTTTTGTGTTCTCTCTGATTTCCCATTACACCTGTAAGAGGTACAAAAATCTGTGAAATTCCTTGCCTGATGTTGCAGATGCTAAAGGTTTGCATAACTTCTTGAGGACCCCATGGAAGAGAAACTCAAAGAAATCATTTTGAATTCATGGAATCCTGGAGCTGAAAACAGTTGGTGGCTAAGATAGTATTAGTGAGAGGCATAATTTACACTTGCTGTATTCTTTCACTTCTCCAGGCACTGGCTCCTGGCTGCTATTGAGGATGTGATATTGTGCTAGATGGATCTTGGGCCAGACTCAGCACACACCCCTTTCTCTTTTCTTACCATGCCTCACACAACAAACAGACATGTTACTGTCTCTATTCATCATGGTAGTAAGCATAATTTATGAGTCTTCAAAGAGAGATGCAATTGTTCTGCTCCCTTCATTTGTGCCATCCCTTCTGATTTCTCAGCCTTTCTGCCTCAGAGTTGGATTCCCTATTCTGACACTGTCACTAAACCAAACACATAGCCTTCTGGTGGCCACAGAGGATCCAGGTAGCATTACTCACCTGGTGGCCTTCTATGAGAAGGTC